CGTGGGCGCGGCGGGGACGTGGCCGCCTGAGGAGAGGGGGGGGCCGGGCAGCGCCGGAGCCAGGTAGGCTGCGGCCTGCTGCGGGGCAGGGCACGTGCGGGTGGCGCCACATGACGCCTGCCCCCTGGTGACCGTAGCCCCCAGCCCCGCGGCTGAAGGAGTAGGAGGGGGAAAGTAGAGAGGGTTTGTTTTAATGTCCTGTATCCGGACAGACTAGGCCCGAGTCTGTGAGCTGAGCACAGCTGGTTTGTTCTGGTGTGTGACACTGCCACGGGCAAGTGCCCTCCGTTTTTCGGTTTGTTTGTTTTGTTTTTTAAATTTGGGGTTCCAGGTCAAATTAGCCAAATCAGTTATGAAACCTATCATCAACTGAATAGACCCGTGTTCAAATCCACGTGGCACTATTGCCGGCAAGTATCGTCCCTCCCTCACTCATCAGCCTGGGGTTTCAGCTACTTCCAGAGCCCTGGCAGGCATCTTAGTGCAGACCCAAGCTGGGAGGTTTTGGGGTTTGGATGCCCCTGGGTGTTGCATGCCCTTAACCAATGGGCCAAAGGAGGAAGCTGGGGGAGATCCCCTGTCTCCATGAAGTAGGCATGTAAGTGAGATACTGGTAGGCGGCCCTGCCTGCAGTGCAAGGACAGGTCTCCACCTGCTTCTGCATGTAGAGCATGTCCAGATGAACATGGCTGTGCAGTATGTGGTGCCACAGACCTGTCTGTAGCATCACATATTTGGGCATTTCCTGTGTTGCTGCCTTGCAGCATGGGAGATTTTTTTGACTATTGGAGATTCAGGGGTCAAAAAATCCTGCACAAAAAAAAAAGTGGGGCAGAACACATGGGGACAGTACGCACTGCTTGAAGCCATAGCCATGCTGGCCTGGCCAGACTCCAAGCTGGAGGAGCGACACAGCTGCAGTTTCCCCATCTCCCAACTGTGCTGGCCCTAGCCGCCCTTGGCCCACCAGGGATAACTGGCCATACACCAGAGGGCACGTGGCACAGGTGTTTAGGGACAAGGTGTCCCGCTGCTAGTGGTTCCCAGGGAACCAAATGTTTGTGCTCATCTGGACTTGGCCTCAAAGGTCAGGAAGGGGGATCTTCCCTTTAGTCATAGCAGAAAAGCACCTGGACTGATCCCATGGTATCTCCCCTGACCCTCCTTTGTGTTTAGTGCTGCATATCTGAATGAGATATATGCTAATGCATGTTGAACAGAGGCCCCCTCCATGCTTTCTTCAAGTCATGGTGAGCTATTACATAGGGTGCATTTTGACTTTCTTTTCACTCCCACAGCTGAGCCATAGTTTTCTTTTCCTTTATCAGTGATTCCTGTTTCTTCAGCTTTAAATGTCTGGGCAAACATCACCAAATGAGGCCCCAAACAGTTCACTCAGAGTCCCCCTGTCACACATGATTATTGTGGCCCCACACTCAATGAGGTGAAATGGGATCAGGTTGCCCTCTATATGCGTCAACTGCATATAGATTTTTGGAGCATCCTAGGATCTATGACAAGAGCACCCAGTTCCAGTCATAAGTGGGAGCTAATTAGCACATGGCTCCTTTGTGGGCGGTATCACACACACAGCTGAGCTGTGGGGTTGCCAGGGTTTTAAACATTGTTGACTCTGGTGGGGCCCATCTTAAGGGACTATAGGGTAAATCAAGAGTTCTTTAGCTTTGGATTAACTGTAGTCGAGGGTAAAGTCCTGTCCATTGTGCTGTCTGCTAAAGTCTGTTTGTGAGAGGATCTTGGCTACACAGTTTTTGGGGATGGGAAATTTCTCTCAGGTGTTTCCTTTAGCTGGCTTCTTTAGTGTTTTTGCTAGGGGCAAATGAGGCTAGGGGCATTTGAACTCCAAGGCCTTGCTCCTTCAGTCTTTTAGTTAGGGGCAAGTGAGGGTAGGGGGCATCTGAACTCCAAGGCCTTGGGACTTGCATATGGGATGTTTGCCATGGATTTGGGAGTAGTCTGAAAAGTCTGGGAGTTAGGACACTTGCTGGTGGTAGCACCACACAGACTTGATAGAATTTGGAGCTATTCTGGTCCAAGACGTAAATAAATAAAAAGTAGGTGCTAAAGTACTATGTAAAAGTGTGTTTCTGGAGTACTAAAATTTGCATTTTCAAAGAAGGTAAAATGTATCAGTTCTGGATGAACTAAATCTATGGGTACTATGTGTAAATTACTACAGCTCTGTTTATTTCAAGGACACTTCAAATTTTCTCCTCACTTCCATGTGCTTGGAAAAAGCAGGGTCTGACAGGTAAGGAGAGGAGAAAGCTCTGGAGGCAGAAGAAGTTGAGGGGAGGCAGAGGGCTAGGGTGGGTATCTGATATATTCTCCTTGCTGTAGCAGTAGAAGGGGGAAAATTTCAAGGCAAAACCTCCAATAATTAGATTTTATATCTGGAAAATTAAGACATTTAGGTTTTCTATATATAGAATCTAATTATGGGGGGCTTATCGTCTAGTCAAGAAAATGCAGTAGTATATGGACAAAATTTTTACTTCCCCTCAAAGGAAACAAACAGCTAATTTCAGAACTTGCTGGCAGTAACTTAAAACTGTCACCCTGTGCCCAAATGATCCAGTTACCTCAAATTTAGATTCTGTATCCTATTATCAGTTTTTTTGAGGCTGTGCGATAGGCCAGATCCAGTTATTTGTCTTGATCAGCAGTTTCCTTCTAGAACAGCAATTAACTTGGTACTTGATTGCAAGCCATGTTCTCAAGTTTTTAGCAGGCATAGGAAGGAAACTTCAAGCACATTAAAACCTGATCAAATCCAACTTTCCAAATACTCTGTTTTCAGGTAACATCAAAACAAAGAGAACCCCCAAACCTCCACAATAAACACCCCCCCATAATTCCAGCAGTTGGTGAAATCTAGGAGGCCTATTCAACTCAAGAATTCCTCATTTATCAAATAAGGAAGGTGTTTACATATTGAAGAGATAAGCATTTTAGAAGCATATCAGATATTTCTTACATCTGCCTTTTCATACCGACTCATCCAATGAAACTGTAGTGTACGTAGCAAAAATCTTCTCCTGCTTCTGGCTTAGAAGGGGCCTAATAGGTCATTGAGTTCAGGTTCCTCATACATAAGGAAATTTGCAGCTTTCACAGAAACTCTGGAACAGGCAATTTCCATGATCACTGCAAAAAATGGGGTTCCTCTAATTTTGCATGGAATTGCTGAGGGGAGGGGAACTTATTAAAATTAAATTCAGGCTCCCCAGTGGGACCAGCCTCACTGCACATTGCGGGGGGGGGCACGG